GGAAACAGAATAGAGCGTTATGGAAGGGGGGAGAGCAAATGAATTCAAAAGTCTTGGTAAAGATAACTCCTGCCCTACTCCTGAGAGTCCTGGAGCTGGAATAATTGGAAATTAAACTATAGAAGATTGACAGCTTCAAAATGTCTTTATTTGTTGAGGCACCATTTGCATAATCCCAACAGGCCAGTGACTCTTTTTGAGGCTGCCCCTTGACTCTCCAGTGTAGAGGGGGCTCTTGCTGGAAGATGCTTCTCCTTCCTCCAAAGCCAAGAAAGAGAAATGAGAGACTCTCAGAAGTCTCTAGAGAAATCAGCTTTAAAAAAGCGCGCTTCCCTCCTGTGACTTCCTCAACCTTCCCACTGACATCACCCCCAGTGGCTCAACACAGTACTCATGCTTTTATCTGCCTCTTCCAGAATGGAACTCTGAAGATCATTGATCGGAAAAAGAACATTTTCAAGCTGGCACAAGGAGAATACATTGCTCCAGAGAAGATAGAAAACATCTACATCAGGAGTAGACCAGTGTTACAAATTTTTGTACATGGGGACAGTTTACGGGTAACAGACCATTTTAAAAATAGGCTTTTCAAGCTCAGACTATGCTGGTTCCTGTAGCTATAGTATTTTTTTTTTTTCTTTTTAGTACTGAGGATTGAACTCAGGAGTGCTTAAGCACTGAGCCACACCCCCCAGTCCTATCTGTTTTAATTTGAGACAGGGTCTCATTTAGTTGCTGAGGGCCTTGCTAAGTTGCCAAGGTTGACCTCAAACTTGCAATCCTCCTACCTCAGCCTCCTGAGTCACTGGGATGACAGGTGTGCACCACCGTGCCCAGCTGTGGCTACAGGAAATTTGTATGAGTGGATTTAGGATGAGAAGATCCTAACTTTTAAAACTAAAGAAATAAAGCTACTTTCTGAATTTCAAGTGAGACAATACATATGAAAAAAAATTGAAACTATGATGGACTTTGTAAAAATAAGAAGTCAGTCAATTTGTTAAAACAGCTATATTCATGGGTAGCTTTTATCCCATGATGAAATGAGTGCACTTCATTTCCACTCCCCTGGTTTGTTCTGTCACAAAAAACTCTTTAAACTTGGCTTTGGAGTTGGGGGTGGGTATTGACCTGGAGATTCTTTAAGCTTAGAGACCACACCACCTCTTTTTGAAGAATCAAATTCGGATAGAATGTCTTTGTAATGAGATATGCTGAGTGGGGAAATGGGATGAGATGTCCATGGGAGTTTGAAGTATTGGTAAGGAAAAGAGGTACGGAATTTGAAGTTTGAGAGCAGGATCTATTGTAATGGTAGGTTCTGCTTTCTCTACCCCCGGGGGACACCCTTACACTTGTTCTCTCACACACTTGCACCTCATGGTTCTTTTCTAGTCATTCTTAGTAGGAGTGGTAGTTCCTGATCCAGACGCGCTTCCCTCATTTGCAGCCAAGCTTGGGGTTAAGGGAACTCTTGAAGAACTGTGCCAAAACCAAGTAAGTGTTGTTTAGAAAGAACTCATGCATATCCATGGGCTCACTGTGAGGGAGAAGAGGCTCTGCCAGCTGGGTACCCCAAATCTCATCTCATTCTGAATGTAGGAACAGGCTCTTCATGCTTCTGTGACAGGGAGCTGCAGCCCAAATAGACTGAATAGTTTTATTTGATTGTGGGATAAAAAGGGAGTTTAAAAACCAAAACTCAAAATTCTTTTTATAGCACTATATTCCTTGTATGTATGTGTGTGTTGGGGGGTGGGGGGTAGAATGGGAAAATAAGAAAAAGGTGCCATCCGGAGAAAACCCATTAACATTTAGATTTGCATTCTTTTCATTTTTTTTTTTTATAAATATAAGGCACACAATGTGCTTATACATACTTTTATATCATGCTTTTATCTGGATCAATTTTTATAGGCATTTTGAGTTGGCTTATGCTTAGCCTTTCATTTAAACTCTTTTTCAACTGGTCATGCTTTAAGTGATGTTTCCTGTTCCTAGATTTTAAAGGAAGCCATTTTAGAAGATTTGCATAAAAATGGGAAAGAAGGTGGACTTAAATCCTTTGAACAGGTCTGTACCTACTGTTGATGCTATCCTGGTCTCACAAGTCAAGCTAGAAAGTTTTATTTAAGTTTCTATTTTTGGTGGGATTTGAATACATAATTTCCTGGACTAGGGGTGTAGCTCAGTGGTAGAGCCTTTGCCTAGCATGCACAAGGCCCCAGGTTCAAACCCCCATCTTTTTAGGTACTTGTGCTGTTCCTTTTTGCTGTACATTGTTCAGTCTCCCTACTCGTTTCTTTCCCAAATTATAAGTGCATGAGAATGGGCCTGGGTTACTGTGAAATAGTCTTTGAAGTTCTTCATAGACCACTCAGGGCTGCACAGAAAAGTCCCGATCACTAATATAAATGTGTATGTGTGTACTCATCTCATCTTCTAGGTCAAAAACATCTTTGTTCATCCAGAACCATTTTCCATTGAAAATGGCCTCCTGACACCAACGCTGAAAGCAAAACGAGTAGAGCTCTCCAAATACTTTCGGACCCAAATTGACAGCCTCTATGAGAGTATCAAGGAGTAGATGAAGGTATTTATGCTAAAGGGGCCTGGAGCTATCTGCCTGCTCAATCCTTGTTGCCTGGTGAGAAGGTGGATTAAAAATTATTCTATTCATTTTGTTGTCCCTCTTGTTTTACCTATGGAACTCTCAAACATAACTTGTTATTTAATACTAGGAGAATTATAATGCTGAACTAAGTACTGTTCTGCCATCTTAACCATTGCTGGCACCAAGGCTGCAGGCAACATGCCTTTCTTCAAGGACCCAGTCCATGGTCTTTGTCCCTTCCTCATCATTTCTAACCTTAATGCCACTTTTATTGGTGGTCAGTAGCTCAAAGGTCAAAGCGACCCTTTGCAAAGTTTTTTTTCTATTATCTTAAAACCTAGACGGCCTGCAGGCCCAGCACTTATTTAGTCCTCCAAAGTTCAAATCAAGAGATCTTTGTGTTCTGATAAACTGTTTACAGTTCATGTTTTCTAGTTACTCCACAAAACCTAAAGTTCTAAGTTTTAACCTGTCACTCATATTAGCCATAATTGAGACAAATTTCTTCTTTGTATACCCTAGAGTCTGTGTTCACAAGGGAAAAGTTTATCATACCGAGAATTTCCTAAATTCTCTAGTTAGATATAGTTAGAAATTAGGCCTATGACGTGTCCAAAAAGAATGTTGGTCTACAAAAAAAATGTGTAATCTACAGTGATAGCTGGTGACTAAATCTTTTCCTTACAGTTGGCTGCTGAGCTGGAAGCTGTGGGGGAAGGAGTTGAAATGTATGTCCAGCGAGCTTTACCAGGAAATGAAGCAAGCACTGAATAAAACTCTCCTGGCACTGGGAACAAAGCTCTATGAGTGAATGTGACGCCCATATGACAGGCTTATCTTCTGTGAAGGAATCAACTGATCTTTCCTCTTGGACTCCAGTTCCTGCTGTACCTTACCCCAAGACAGCATTTGTAATGTACTCTTTAAAATAAACTGTAAATGTACTCTTTAAAATAAACTATTGCAGATACATAGATTTTTGTGTTTGTTGCCTCATGGGCTCTGATGAGAATCTGTCTTCAACAAGGACCACTTAGAAATTTGAGACTAATGGTTCTGAAATTTTGGTGCACACTAGATTTAACTAGAAGTTTGAAAAGATACTACTGCCCAGGCACTGCTCCAGGGACCCTGAGTTCGGTGGCCTGGGGTACCGCTGGGGCATGGGGATTGTTAAGAGGTCTCCAGATATCCTAGTATGCAACCAAGTTTGATAAGTAAATTGAGAAGACCAGTCCGCCTTATCCCATAGCTGTAATAAAACACGAGCTGAGCCCAAACCTGAAGCACTAATTCATATTTTCTCCTTTGCCACCTTTGTTGTACTCTTCTTAACTAGAGTTCCTTTCTGGCCTCTAACTATAGTTAAGGAGAATATTCTTAGATGATCTTTTTAGACATTGGGCTTAGAAAAGCTGAAGAAATGTCTATATTTGAATATCCAAACCAAAAGGAAGGCTGGAACTAACTTGTAGGGCCCTCTGTGGTGTAGCAGGCTCTCATCTCTTTGACTTCCCCCTTCTTCCCCTGCTGACCTTTGCTGGCTACTCTTCTGTTCCTCAAACATGTCAGGCACATTCCAGTTTCCTTGTGTTCTTTTTTTTTTTTAAAGAGAAACAGAGAATTTTTTTTTAATATTCATTTTTTAGTTTTCGGCGGACACAACATCTTTGTTTGTATGTGGTGCTGAGGATCGAACCCAGGCTGCACGCACGCCAGGCGAGCGCGCTACCGCTTGAGCCACATCCCCAGCCCCTGCTTGTGTTCTTCCTGTCCCTTTTGCCTAAAATGCAGATACTCCTGGAGGCACAAGACTTGCTTCCTCATCTGCTTTAATTGTCAACTCATGATGGTCCCCTTCTTCATAATAAAAAACTCTGATATATTTTGTCTGTCCCACCTCAGGACAATGAGGCAGTCATGTTTCACTCACCCCTGAATCCTCAAGTGCACCTCCCTTATAAGCCTGACCCCAAAGCCTCAGGTTCCCAACCTTGGAAAGAATTAATAATGGACGAGTTTACTAAAGTCAAAAGAAGTAGGCCTTTTCCTTCCTTCTGTAATTATACTCAGAAATTTTGATAAACCCACCATTAAGCATCCAAGTCCGGCAGCCTGGATTCCACCACTTCTACAAGCTTCAGTTTTTGATATAGTCAAGTTTGACAAGCAGTTTGATGTCACTGGGTTTGAAGTCTCCTAGCGTGCTGTGATCCCATAAACCATCAACAGGGTTCACACATTGAGGAGAGTATGTCATGTCTTAAAACTCCTAATTTGAGATGCCACATTTTCACAGGGTAGCAGGGCAGTTTGTTCATGAGGACCAAAGATAAACCTTTTTAGTCAGCATACACACACAAAAAGCTTTAAGTAAAAACTATGATTTATACAGAACATCCACCAATCTTTATTTGATTTGACAAAATCTGCATTATTAAAAGACAGGTAACAAAATTTGAGCTTATATTGAATTTGACAAATTAAGTTCTATAGTATCTAAGATATTATATAAGAAATATCAACTGAGGGGGAAATAAAATGATCACATGCAGATCTCCTGGCAAAGGGGGAACTATATCTGCAGGTGAGGTCCAGAGTGCGCAGCGCATTAAAAAAACACCCTAGAGAAAATGCATTTAACTTACTTGGGTGAAATTCTGCTCCTTTCAGGAGGAAGAAGAGGTGGAAAAGAGGCAGGAATTCAAAGGCATATGCAGAATGGCTTCTCCATTTCAAAATGGTAATAAAAATATTTAAATCATGGCACTAGGGCACCTTTGAGGAAAAGAACACCTTAACCAGAGTAGGCTCATTGCATAATGTTTTAGTAATGTGTATAATTTTCAAGTAATGAAGCAGACTTAAAAGATAATTTCATTTAAACAGTGGCTATCTGTTTTTCTTCTCGCCCTCTGGCGCTGGATCTGTTTCAGCCTCACAGGGACACTTTTCCACACAGTTTCTAGGGAACCATCCTCTTATTCTTGAAACACCTGAGGAAGAAAATGAAATTGAGATGAACTAGTCAGATGTACTGCAATGACATTACGGGAATCAACAATCCTGTTACTTCAGGTTAATAAGGCTTTGTTAGCCTCGCCCCCCTCCACTGGCATTTATAAGTACAACTTAAGGGAAAAGAAAGAATGGCTCCTAAATGCTTCTGACAAGTTGAAAAGATATTCCCCAAAGTCCATTATCTGGGAAAAGGGCCAATGTGGCTCCAGACCACTTAACTGGAGTCATGGCCTTTTCCATATGGGCAGTTGCTTACGTTATATGACTATGAAAGGCATTTTGACACAGTCACACTGCATCCGTCCTGGGGAACTAGCTCCCTAGGGCCTCTGAATTTTCTTCTTAGACTTTTTCTAACATATGAAATTCTTTATCAAGTTTGCCCAACCTCTCATATGGAGTTAATCTATAATTAACACTGAATGTTTTTCAAAAGCATCCTCAGCTGATCTTTACTTCAAAAAGAAACAATTCTAGGGCTGGGGATGTGGCTCAAGCGGTAGCGCGTTCGCCTGGCATGTGTGCAGCCCAGGTTCGATCCTCAGCACCACATACAAACAAAGATGTTGTGTCTGCCGAAAACTAAAAAATAATTATTAAAAAAAATTCTCTCTCTCTCTCTTTAAAAAAAAATAGAAAAAAGAAAAAGAAACAATTCTAGAAGAATTAAAACAATTCTAAAAGAAGAAAACAAAATTTCAATTCATTTATTTTTATAAAAATAAGATGAATATTCATTCAAAGTGGGAGCATGAAGCACAGGGCTTACAGACTCTGGAGTTAGCTTGGGTTTGAGCCCTGGTTCCACCTGTTTTTAGTGTGTGGCTGTAGGAAAATTGCTTGGCCTCTCTGTGCTTCTGTTCCCTAACGAATAAGATATAAATAATAACATAACCTAAGAGGTCTGTTGGGAACTCTAATACTGTTCAGCTGAGGCACTTATACAAGCACCTGATACATTGAAAGCTCTAGTGTTAGCTGTCATTATAGAGACCTGATCATTACAAGGGCTATCTAGAAACAGAAGAGGCTTCTTTTTATTGCTTAATCATGTGCCTCTCTATGCAATTCCCCAAATGCACTTGATATGATTATTTTTAAAAGATATTCTTGTAAAATTTGTAATCATTGCTAGCATTCTTGTCCTTTAAACGTACCCTTCCACTTCCTTACCTTCTGCAAAGGAATCATCAAGAATCTTGTCTCCATATAACCAGTATCTGAAATATTTAAAAGATTAAATTTATATTTTTTAGGTTAGATGTCAATTTTGTCATTAAGGAAGAAATGTGGTACTTCTCTATCGCTTACCGTAACCCTCTTGTGGCCAAAATGAACTCCCCTTTTCGTAGCTGTATCCGAGGTTCTTCAGTGCAAGGGATTGTGAAGATGGTTTTGATTCCTTTATTCAAAGGACAACAGGAACCACTATAATCTTCTGTGACTTTATAACGAACCTATTATCAGTGGTAAGAAGAACAATTTGAGTATTTATTCATCTGAGTTCAAGTTTGAATTTAAATTTTTAAAGGTAGACCCAAAATATCGAGAGACAAGCCTTCCCTCCCAGTTTCCCACTCATCTTCCCCCATAGGAGGCAAGTGCTATGTTTAGTTCTCCGGCTTGTCTTACCCTTCCTTTCAAGCACACAGTTGCTAAGAATTAAATTCCAGTACAGCACCAACCAGAGAACTTTCCAACAATGATGGAAATCTTCTATCTGCTGTACATCTGTGGTATTCAAGGGGTGGCTGCTAGACACACATAGCTATGAGCACTCATAATGTGCACAGCAAGTACAATAAAGAACTAAATTTTTATTTTAACTAATTTAACTTAAATAGCCATATGTGCCTAGTGGCATCGAATATGACAGCGTGGTTGTAAGAATGGGTTTCACCTAAACAAGCCATACTGAGGACAACTATTTTTCCTTGTTAGCAATATAAATTGAATAAGTTCCCTCTGAACCTGCAGTGCATACTGTTTAAATGAAAACAAAATTGAACAACATCAAATTTCAACAAACGTATTACAGTATGTATTATTTAAAGAAATCCAACCATTGGTGTCTCCTGAAGGGCAATTAAGAAAATTTTACAGAAATATAAAGCCTGAAAATAGAATAAAGAATTACTTACACTTCTGACTCTTTTATCTGCTTTTTGTTTCAATTGTTCTATCTGAAAGATAGAAAAGGAAAAACTTAAGGCTCTTGTCTCAATGTTGAAAAACAGCCTACAAACTCCCAACTTTCCAGCATTAATTCATATAGCTGACAATTTAAAGGCTCCCCGTCTTTCTGGCACAGGAACAAAAGCCTGTGGCTGGAACCAGAGGCTGAGAGTGGGGTTTTCTCCTCAGAATTCAGTCTGATAGTTCCATCTATATTCTTGCAGTACCCACTACTGCCCAGGAACCAGGAGATATGTCCTCTGCTCTTCCAGACCAGTGCCCAAAGCAAAGACAGAAATTCACTGATTCTTTAGACACAACAAACTTCAGAACTTATTACCAAGAGGTTCAACTAAGTCATTATCATAACTCACTTTTTGCCCTTAATCAACAAGTATTAAATAGTACCATATTAGACATGATAGGAAGTAAAGGTAACATAGTTTCCATTGTAGAATCTTGTCAAATTAAGTACAAGACATAAGACATGAGAATAAATAAAATGTGAGACCTCATAAGCTATAAGGTAGTTTAGATGACTAATGCCCAATGCAGATGAGTCTGGAGTGGGCAGGCTGGACTATATGGAACTGGTCCTAATGGCAGACAAAGAGGAGGTCATTTGAGAGAGAAACAAAACAGTGTGGGCAATGTTAGGGGGCAGGAATATACAAGGAGTTCATATGACATTGTTGGTTGTAAGACAGTTTTAGGTAAGGTTTTGTAAAACTAAGTTAAAGAATCAGGACTTCATCACACAGAGGTTTGAAGAGTTCAGGAGTTAAGAGATATGATAAAGGAATATTTTATTAGTATTAGATTCATTTTGACATACTGAAAACATTTGCATTATTATGTTACTATAAAATGTCACTGTATTGAGGGGAATAAGGGGCACATGGTGAGGCAAAAAAGGAAGAGCTATTTGAACAAATGTACTCACCGTTAAGTTGTACGGGTGACAGTCTTCTCTTACAGGCCACTCCAATCCATCTCCTTCAGGGACCCCCGACCATGTAAATACCTGTGTAAAGTTCTTCCATTTACTTCCCATATCATAAGGAAAAACAAAGACTTCATCTAGTTGGTAATATTGAATTCGATCTTTAGCCTGTGGATAACAAAGATACAAAATGGCAGACACCTCTGTCTTAAGTGGCTCCAATAATACATTATTGAGAATACTTTTCCTCAAAATTTATATTATCCTTACAAGTACTTTCTTTTTGTTGTAATGTAGTGCACCCATAAGACAGCTTTATCATAACAGAGAAAGAACTTGACTTAGAACACCAACCTAGATGCCATGTTACTCAGAGTTTCCTTTAGGAATAAGCATTTGAAAAGGCTTAATAGAAGAGTTGACTAACTTTATCCCATGTATAGAAAAGCCTAAGTGTTTCTAGTTGTTTAGCAGCACCAAAGAAGACAGGTTAAAAAGAAGTGATGCTCACATATAGGTTCAGGAGAAAGTAAGGGTTTACTTAGGATGGACTATTTGACTCAGAATCTAACTATCTCATAGGCTGCACCAAATGCAGAGCTTTATTCCAGATCTCAGTGAAACCTGTGGAATGACCAGGAAGGGTGTGACAAGGGAGAGTAATCAGTTTTTGCTTTTTGTGACACTGGTGATTTAATCCAGGAGCATTCTACCACTGAGCTACATCCTCAGTTTTTTTATTTTTTACTTTGAGACAGGGTTCTACTAAGTTGCTGAGGTTGGCTTTGAACTTTCAGTATTTCCGTCTCAGTTCCCAGGTTGCCAGGATTGTTTTATGAAAACATTCTCTAAAGACCAGAAGGTATGTGCAGATCTTTCTTTTTATATATATACCATTGACATATATATGTGTACACACACACACTCATTTGCATTTATGTATTATGCATATTTAGGTGGTATAACTTTTATTCTAGTTTTTTTCCTTTGTAAATTCTAGGCATTAAATGGTTGGCTTTAACTTAGGGAAATAAACTAGCTTTGAATGTCTTAAGTTCTGCTGACACCTAGTGGTATAAAAACACATTGTTTTTACATTCCAATGAGTGTAAGCCATATTGAAACTTGTGTAAACTTTAGTTTCTTGTAAATTCTATACATTTTCCATAAATTTAATATGTTCACTTACTCAAATTTTTTACTCACTGGTAAGTGCCAGTTTTCAAATAACTCTAGATTTGGCATGGTATTTTTTAGAGAGATTTGGTCATTAGCAAAAAATATAATAGATGTCTATATATTTGTTATCCTTACTAGAAATGATACTTTGAAATACCTGATTATTAAGAAACATTATTTTACGCATAAGCTTCCTATTTTTTAATAAAGTGATATGAATGTTAATTTTCCTGTAACATGAATCTACTGAATTGCATAAATCTGCTCTCATCCAGTTAGCAAAAGATAACTTATTTTCCCTTTTTATAAACAAAACCTTTAGTTTAAAATGAACTGAATTTCAAAAACAGAGATCTTGGCTATTTACAAAGGAAGACTAGTAAAGATAACTGTAGTTTACAAACATAACTAAGACATGTCTTTGCCTAAAAGAAGCACTCAATGAAGTTGAGATTCTATACATATTATGTGTAAAAGATGACAGTAGTATGTGGTGCTGCTATGGGAAAAGGGAACAAGTTTAGAGAGTGTCAAGGAAGTATCCTTGGAGGAAATGATACCTAAACTAGATGTGAGGGACAAGAAATCAGATAAAAGAGAGAAAAGAGTCTAGAAGAGGGAACACTATGTGCATAGATACAGAAGCATAAGATGTACAAAGTATGAGCATGAGATGGAGTAGAGAGGGCGGGAAATAGGAGAGAAGCAGATAAGGGGAAGTCATGAAAAGTCTTATTATGTGTAACTAAGGAACTTGGACTTAAACCTGTACATCCATGGTCCTCAAAGCCTGCTTTGTAGGTTTCTTTGTGTCCCCCAAACCTTTTCTTTGTGTTCAGTAAAGTCAAACTATTTTCATAATAACACTAAGATGTTATTTGTCTTTTCATTGTGTTGGCATTTGCAATGGGGGGTAAAATTGTTGGCATCTTAGTAGGAACAAGATAGTGGCATAAAGTGTTATCAGTAGCCATACATATTCTTTGCCAAGAGTCAACCTTCCATATCTTCATATTCACAGGTTCCACATTTGTGGATTCTACCATAAATTGAGAATATATATATATATTTTTTTTTTAAATTCTAAGACATTAAAAAGAATTGTTTAATATGTAGCACTAGATAATGAATACAGATATTGAAACCAAGAAGCAGGGTACTGCTATAATAAAACCAAAATGAAAATATATTTTTTAAAAAAGTGCATCTGCATAAAATACGTACAGAACAACACAATGTAACAACTATTTACATAGCATTTACATTGTACTAGGTATTATAAGTAAACAAGAGATGATTCAAAGTATACAAGAAGATATGTATAGGTTATATGTCACTTTGTCATTTATGTGAGGTGCTGCAGCACCCACACATTTTGGTTTTGGGGAGAATCCTGAAACCAATTCCTGGCAGATATCAAGGGATGACTAAACATATTTACAGTTAAAAAAATTATGTAAGAATGTTCTTGAGGAAGCAGTAAAAATTATTATTTTTATTAAATCTGAATTCTCAAGTAGATGTCCCCTTTAATATTCTATATACCAAAATGGGAAGGATACATAAAGCCCACCAAAGTAGTATAATTATCCATAGAGAAACACTTGTTTAATTGTGAGCTATAAAAAGCTATGTACCCAGCTTTTTTCACATAACACTACTTTTACTTAAAAGAATCAGTAATCAATAGACAAACTAAGCTTACTCAGACTCTGGTATTTCATAAATACTTTCTCAAAAATGAACAAAGTCAGGCTGTCACTTCACAGTAGTTGGTTACTATTGAAAAACTTAAGTTTTTCAAGTGAAAATTAGAATTTTAGAAAACTCGTACCTATCACTATGAATCTGACAGCTTTCCAAAATTTAAATTTTTTTTTCCCATGAAATTGATAGTGATATGAATGAATGTGATATTTGAAAGGTGTGAACATTTGGAAGACCTGTACAGCCCAGTAAACCAGTGTTTTTCCAAATTACCAAAGCATGATATTATGCAAAGCCACAAACTTGTAAAAGGACCATTTGCAGAGCAAGATAAGGCTAATGAATTTTAATGTAAAAGTACAAAAAATTTACTGAAAAGAAATGTCACTTTCTTTTAATGTGGGATCAAAGAATATCTAATATCATTAAAAGGCCTATTAAAATATTCTATCCTTTTCTACCTATTTATCTGTATGAGGTTGGGTTTTCTTCATAAACTTCAAAGTAACATATCTCAACAGACTGAACACAGAAGTAGATGTGCGAATCCAACTGCCTTCTGATAAGTCAGATATTAAAGAGATTTGTAAAAATATAAAACAAGGTCACTCTTTCCCATTTTTCACTTGGAAATACAAAACATTACTTTTTATTAAAATATAATAGGTTCATTATTTTTAAATGAAATAATAAATATTTAAAAGTTTTCTTAGAAAATATGGCAATATCAATAAATTTAATACACATCATAAACAAAAGCTCTTCAGTGTCCTTAACAATTATGACAAATGTAAAATGGTGTTGAAACCAAAAAGTTTGAGAATTGCTGCTGTAAACTGAAGTTCACAAACTGGTTATTGGGGACTAAATATATCCTACAGATAAATTTGGGTTTTTATTTGGCTCACAAAGGGTTTTTTAAATTGGAATTGCTTGTTAGCATTTGAAAGCTTAGACGACTTCTCACAACATCAAGATCTCTAACTTCTTGGGAAAAAAATTAGAACATATTTCAATATTGACAAATATTCCCTTATGGCAACACTCAGCTTTGTCTGTCAGATAGCTTTCTAATACACAAGGTGGACCTCCTTCTTTAAGTTGTCTGCATGTCCCCTGCAGGTATTTGGGGTTTTGCCTTCTGTTAGAATCACAAGGGACAGAGTGTATTGAGGTCTGTGACAAAGCCTCATCTAAAGTCTAAAACACTTCTGGCACCTTTCCAAATGGGGAGCCTTATCCTCTAGTGTGAGATAATGATCAGGTGGTTTAATATGTGGCTTATATACCTCTTTAGCAACTCAAGTGTATGTGAAACATATTTTTGTGGGAGTTATATTAAGATGGAAATAAATGGAAATGTTTCCTATATTCATCTTTTATAAGGCAGGCAAATAATTTAAAGAAATCATTTGGCTGCCAAGTTTTGACTTTTAGGCACTTAATCTGGACTGTTAACAGTACTTTATTTATATTGAGGAAAAATCATTAAAATTTACCTTCTCTTCAATCCATGATTCAATAGAGGTTTTGTTTCTGAGAATTATTTTCATCTGGAAATTAAATGATAGACAGTAAAATTTACTAATGTGACTTTGGTTTATTTAAGATTATTATCTTCATAACAATTCTCTGAGATAGCTTTTATTGCTCCATTCCAAATATAAAGGCACTGAGGATGACAGAGGTTAAGTAACAGCACATAGCCCATCTGACTTTAAAAATTTTGTTCCTTTTTTTGGGGGGGGGGCAAGGAGGCTAACCAGGGATTAAACTCAGGGGCACTCAACCAATGAGCCACATCCCTAGCTCTATTTTGTATCTTATTTAGAGACAGGGTCTCCCTGAGTTGCTGAGTCACTTTTGTTGAGGCTGACTTTGAACTTGAGATCTTCCAGTCTCAGCATCTGGAACTGCTGGGATTACAGGCGTGTGTCTTCTAAAGTACTTGTTCTTAACCACTGCACAACAATACCTTGCCACAAAAACGATCATACCAATCCATCATCAAATCTGAATCTCGTATTTTAATTAAAATTCATGTTTAAGTACTATTTTCAGACCAAGTTTTTAGAGTATTAAAAAACATGGGTATAATCAATTCAATCAGTCCTTAAATTTTGCTATTATTTGAATTTTATATTTGTGACTAATGTATTTATAACAATTAAAAATAACTCATTCCAGATATTCTGCTTACCTAAATGTATACAGTCTTTATTCTATTACCTCATTTTCTTACATATGACTACTTCCACTCAGGTTGTTTTTATACTTCAGAATCTTAGTATATTTCTTGTTATAGTTTTGTTTCGTTTTTGGCACTGAGGATCAAAACCAGGGCCTAACACATACTGATGAGAACTGAGCTACAACCCCAGCCTTTTTAAAATTTTGTTTGAGACAGGGTCTCATTAAGTTGCCCCAGCTGACCTTGAACTTGTGATCTTCCTGCCTCAGCCTCCCAAATAGGTGGGATAACAGGTGTATGAGACTGTGCTCAGCTTTCTAATATGATTTTAAATTACAGGCATTAAGAAAAAAATTTTCAAAGAATATGGTTCCAGGCTAATAGAAAATAAGAAGTAAAATCAAAATCAGCTTATTTTAAAACCAGGAGTTCAAAAAAAGGTTGAATGATGCATCAAAGCTCTAAGGCCCAGCAGTTCTAATCTGTATTTTGCATTTCCTTGAAGTCTGCTTGTGCCTTCACAATGTCTGAAAGGCACATCAAAAAACAACTCTGAACCAGGAGTCCCTCTCATATTCCAAAGGTCTACCAAAACACTTGGCCTACAGTAGGCTTTCAATGAATAAATAAATTAAGCAAATAAAAATCATAATAACTGTTTTTTGGTCCCTTCATAGCCAGGTCCTCCTCCTCTGTTTTCTCAAAGCACTTTGTGCATAAATCTATGATGTACATATGACTCCGTATTAGCTGTTTACTACTGATTATAAGTTCACTAAGGGTTCCCTAAGGAACCTCTTAATTTTTATTATTGCAACCTCAGAAATTAGCAGTGTAATTCATCACAGAGTAGGCATTAAAGAGCAACTATTTCACGGGGTTGTTATGAAGGAGCTGACACACACAAAGCACCTTGCATGTAAGCGCTCAACAAAAGTGTTAGCTACATGATGACTACTATTATTATTAGATATATACTATTATGAAATAATACTAATAATTATGTTTACTGAATACATGAAAGGGTAATCTTCAGTAAGTCATTTAATCTTTTTGAGATTCAATCTGTAAAAGAGAAGACAGTAATATTCTTCTATCAACTTCTTTTAGGGGTGATATGAAGATCAAGTAAGACTGTAAAGTGAGAAGAACTTTCTCAACTACAAAGAGCTATGGCACTCTAGGTTAGCATTTCACAAATTAAATCCATTATCTAGAAATTCTGGCAAAAATTACTTCAAAATTTTTATTATTATCACTAGTATAGAGATGATTAAATTATTTACCCATATGGAATAAGCAAAAGTAATGTCCACCTCATACAGCATACTTTTCAAATGTAGACTTTTCTTTCTCATTACAATAACATGACAACTTTTAGCCAGAGATAACTAAGAAACTTACCTGAATAAAAAACAACATCCCAACAGCAATGGTTGTTCCTAAAGCTAATCCCAAGGCAAACAAGGTGGCAGCAAATGCAGCTAATCCAAATGGAACAATTGGAAGAGGATCTCTCCGGGCTGCACTCATATCAATCTTTACTGTGTTCCACCCAAAGGAGAGCTATATATAACAACAACGACAACACACTCGAAATGCTTGGTTGTGGTAACTGCTCATACTCTGCTGTAACATTTAAAACAACATGATCAAAAAGATGATAATCGACCCTGTGACCAAAGCAAATACAACAAACATAACTGTTTCTAATGAGTTCTGTGACTTGGGCTCATACCAATGTGTATATCATTCTTAGTATTCTTTTTTTTTTTTTTTTCAGTATTGGAGATTGAAACCAGGGCCTGGGGCATACTAGGTAATAATGAATTACATCCCTAGCCCCTTCCTTATTCGTCAATGTTACCATTTTTGTTGTTTCCTTAGAAAGAGGTCAACCCCATAAATATGAATATACACAGAAAACATTAGACACCCATGTAAGCTATAACTGTCTCCTGCCTTCTGCTTACTATTCTGTCTTTCCAGTGTTTTCCACAGCAGCAAAGATAGCCCAGCATTCATCTATTTCTTTTGTCATGTTTCACATTCAGTGGTCAAGAGCTGGTAAAATGCAGGCCTGCAGAGTGTGAGTACATCTGGTCTGTACAATATTTTAAATTATCAGAAGTTAGGTGCCAACATTTAAAATTAGGAGATTTCACATAAAAATTCAAACTCTTAGATTTTTCTTGAAAAATTAGAAGATCTAGCATTACTGGGCTAGGACTCTCAAAAACCATAAACTGGCTACAATCAAATACAGGTTGTCCGCTCTGTCAATGACATGTATCCTCCCATTTGCCACAGTCCCTTCAGACCTGTGTCTCTTGTTTTCTTCCAGATCTCTTTAGGGCTTTATATTTGTGACCTCTGAACTTTACTTCATGACAACTTTCCCATAAATCAACTCAAACTGTTACTGGTTTAATCTATTCATATATTAGGGTGTGTGCCTGCTCCTTTCAGGGCAATGGAATTAAAAATGAACAAAACTAATCCCAGCAGCTCAGGAGGCTGAGACAGGAGGATCACAAGTTCAAGGTAGGCCTTCGCAACTCAGTGAGATCCTATCTCAAAATAAAAAACATAAAGAGCTGGAGATGTAGCTCAGTGGTTAAGCACCCCTGGTTCAATTCCCCAGTACCCTCCCCCTTAAAAATAACAAAAGAACTACAACCTGCCACACAAAGAGGAAACAGAAAGTACTAGTGTGGCTTTTTCTTCTTGTTCTTTTTTCTTCCTTTCATTTTTCCTACTATCACTATTAATTTTAAAACTAATACATAATGTATATTGTACTAATTTTTAAAATTAATAAATAATGTATATTGTACTAAAATAATTATCAACTTCAAGTAGAGTATATAAGGTAAGTTTCCAAAACAAAATAATTTTTCATCTTAAAGTTAAAATTTTTTTTTAAACAGTAACTGATTGAGAGAGAAAGCAAAGTTGGTTTCCTACCCAAATCACAGACAGTATATTTCTGAAAGGAACTTCTTAAACAATCTTATAACTACCACTTAATCTGACATGACTGATATTATAACAAACATTGTCACTTACCCGATTATACAGTTGTGTGTACATAGTCATAACAAAAATGAAAGCAGCATGAATACAACCCAGTGGTGCTAAAAGGAGAAATAGCGTGAAGGAAGCATGATTTTGGTAACCACAACAGTTGTTGATCCAAGGACAGTGATGGTCCATCTTCATCACACATCTAACAAGAAAAATTTACATGAAACATGAAGCAGAAAATCCCTTCTACTTTAAATTACTTTGGTCTTCAAACAATCAAGTAACTAGGAATCTAGTATGTCCATAAGTCACAAGGGAATTATATTTCATGGAAAAGAGAAATATTTATGAGGTGTTATACAATATGGACAGTTAAATACTTAACAGCCCAAGAAAGGGCAAATTTATAACAGCTGCTGAGGAAAAGATGTCTGTTACAAGTGTCTTTCTTTAAAGGAGCTGGGAGGCCCACCAAGAGGCTCATTATAAATGAGCATGGTTTCTGGTTTTTCTCTAGTACGGAAATGCAGTGATTGACGCAGAGTACAATAGTGACTAAACAAAATCACTTATAAAGCTCCACTAGGGTTCATGAGCCCAGACAGACACTTATAACTTCCTTCCTTCCTGTTCTCTCAGTATACTTCAGATAAGCAAAGTCTTAATGTGCTTCTGTTCTATAATTGTGCTAAAGGAAAATTTCCTGGCTTCAAATCAAACTTTAGTTGTCTCTGGTGGCTCCCTAAATTTCTCAATGATCAGTGGATTTAGCTGTTCACTATAATAAATCCTGGCTTATTTCATATTTTTTATAGTGATTTAGTTTTCTTTCCATTAAGCTTTTGATATTACAAGATCTATATAAAGAGTAAAATTTTATCAATAAGTAATGGAAAAAGGAGAAGGCTATAATTAAGACTCAGAACGTTCTAAAGTCAGTCAAGACAACAGTTAACAAACACAATCCTGGTATGGAAATAAGCTAAAGGCATAGCTCTTTATTCCACATTTGCAGGGCAAGAGGGAAAGAAAATATATTTTTCTAGAAAAGTGGTTTTTTACTTGTAATAAAAAAGAATAAAACATTATCTGGATTGACAAATATTAAATGGAGACTATATATACTTAAGCATTTTTATGAAATTTTTGATATAGTGGTCACCTTGCAGAGAATAAAACTAGTTTCTATAGTTGTGGTAGAAACTACAACAGCAACAAAAAGACCAACAATCAAATTTATCAGCTCCCAATGACAAACTCACCTGTTACACTTTCTGCAGTGATGTGAACGTGGTGCCTTGTATGCTTGGCAGACTTTACAATACTGGAGATACATGCTATCTTGAGAATTTTCCTTGGCAGCAAAATATAAACAAAAATATATTATATACTTGATCTCAAGTAATGACAAGTCAAGCTTTGTGAATAAATGCTTTCCTTAGAGTATGAATTTCTTTCATGGGATATAGGAAGTGGATGGAATCCTTTTTCTTTGTGGTGCTAGAGATGGAACCTGGGCCTTTCGTACCAGGCAAATTCTACTTCTGAGCTACATCCCCAGCATAAAGGAGAAACAGAATTTCAACATATTTGTAGTCTTTTTATCTGAGCTAAAATATTTTTAAAATAACAAATCTGTGGTAAGAGCTGCTTCACTCTCCTAATTACCCAGAGGTCATTTTTAATTTTTCTTCCCCATGTTCCACCTAAATCCAATGTCATTAGTGAGTTCCACTTACCCCAAATCTTAGCAAAATGGGAAGACTTTAGGAAAAAGGTAGCTGACAATTTAGCAGGTATTTTAGAGGGAGATCTGAGCATGAGTTGGTAGTTTTTCTGAAATTACTCCCTTCTTGATATTACAAGTCATCTCTCTCCATTTTAATAATTTTGTAGTTTCCTTGACTGTAATTTCTAATTCAAAATACATAGTCAAAATAATATTCCTGGATACATAACTCTGTCAGAGCTGCTTGAAAAATCTCTAGAAACTTTCTATGGTCTAAGAATATCTCATATATTCAAGACCTCCCATGAGCTACCTTGGTTTCATCATTATCTGCAACCTTCATAATCTTTTTTTCCAGTTACAAGGCTGTCTGCTGTTTCTGAATATGTGCCCCCATTGTTCCCCCAACCTGAAATGCCCTCTTCTTTGTCTACTCTGCAAACTCTCACTTCTTTCATAGATCCCCAGCTGAAAGTGTTCAGTTCTTCTAATTTCAAGAGCACTCATCACATTGTCTTTATAGTTTAGTAATTTGCACAATGCATTGGTTTGCCTCCTAGATTATAAATTTTTTCAGAATATGAACTGTCTCACCCTTCTCAAATAACACACTGCACACAGAATACACTGTTTCTCAAACTTTAGACATACCTAAGAATCATTTGAGACTTTTGTTAAAATGAGGATTCTGATTCAGTAGGTCTTCAGTAGAGACAGGATTGTGTACTTCTTAGAAGCTACTAAGTAACATCCCTCAGCAAGAAACGTGGACATTCATAAGCACAATCTAACAATTTTTAAGAAGCTATAAATTGATTCTTACTATATTTTCCAATGTTTATAATTTCACTACAATGATTTTAAACTAGTAACTCCTTAAGTGTTGTTCTTAGTTCTGAGGGATGTTAACGTATTACACAGGAAAAAAAAAAAAATCTACAGCCAAATTGCACGGTGAACTTATAAGAGGGGTATATGATATGCTGTGTTTCCTTATCACCATGAACTCAACCACCACCCCAATGTTTTTTTTCAAATGTAGATGAGTACTCAATAAAATTGCTTTGAGAAAAGCTAATTTAGATCACTACTTTCAAGCAGATATGAAATAAATTCTCTGAGAATAAATGATCAGTGAGCAATTGGAGTAATACGAGAATAAACAACAGGCTATGTTTGATATTACTGGTTGGCAGATTAGGCAAAAAGTAAAAACAAATTATCATTGTTAAAAGGAAATCTTTCTTACCGGTTTCCACCCCAGAGGGACAAAGCCAGGACCAACAAACATGGCATTGAAGTAATTATAAAGAATCATGACAGTCCAATTTATTAACATGATGAAGTTCACACTTCCTCCAGTTGTATGTAAGGGCCAATACCACAACACAGAGTCAATCATGGCCATTGTAGAACATATTGCTATAACACCAAGGGCTATTATGGGACCCCAGTGACAGAGTCTCTTTAATTCTTGGAGATTCTCAAACTTGATAACTGAGCAGAATGCACCCATTTTGGTGAAGAAGAATGCCTTCCTACTTCAAAAGGGTTACAGATTTTCTTTTTCTGTGCACACATTTCCACATGCCACAAGTCTCTGTGTGTTCCTTAACTGTCATGCCATCAAGTTATGAGACGTTAATGCAGATTATGCCATTTTCAGTGTTAAGCGCTCAGAGTTCTTTATTTTAACTAGGAGAATCCAGTATCTTGGTTTGAAACCCAACCTAAAAAAAAAAAAAAACAAAATGGGAAAGTTCAGAAAAAAATTTTATTATAATACCATATTTGTTAACTCCATAAATCACCCAAATAACAATCTCTCTCTACAACAGAATGAGTATTTTATCAAATGTCAAAAATAATTACTTTTGACTTATCCAAAATACAATTCAAGTTTGAATGGCATGTACAATGGATATGTTTCCAAAACAGTTTTAATTATTTGCTCTCAATTCGTCAGGGCACTGTGACTGTCCACTGTTTCGTGCCAGGGCAAATAATTTTAGAGCTGGGAAGGCTGGGCCTTAGAGCTGCTCTAATCCAGTTTCCTTTCTTCTGTCCCACAGAATAGAAATTGGCTTAGAGAGATAAAGTGATTAAACCAAAGTAACAAGTATTTAACAACTGAGCGCAGAATAGAAGCCAAGTCTGCGAACTTTTCAGGGATTTCTAAGATGCCTCTTTCGGAGTTCGGAATTAAGCGTGAACCAAACTTGGCTCACATTTGCTTGCAATTATCCCCAAACACCAACATTAACAGTCTACTGCGGCCAAAGGTTAAGGATTAGGAGTGAAAGCAAAGGGAGTGCGCAGGGAGAGGGAGGAAAGGAGAGAGAGAAAAATCACTACACAGTAATATGAGAACGAATATAAATGAGAAGAGTTGAGACGAAAAGAACTTCCTGCTGGGGCGGGAAAGGTTCGTAGGACGGTATTTATGACTGACTGGAGTGAGCGGGGAGAAAGGAGCTGAGATTTACGGGTAGCAGAGATTCTGGGATATAGAGGCGACAGATTCCTACACGGCGGATGCTGCTGCCCCGTGCCTCAGTTTCCCGCCCATGTCATGGAGCACAGCGTCTAGCAATCCTCACTCTGGGGAGAAACGTCCTAGTAAGCGAGGTGGGTCTCAACCTTCTGGAGATTCTGGCCTCACTCGGGTGGAGCGAAGACCGCCCAAATCATCGTGGCGCTCCCTGCCTTGACTCCCACCTCCGTCAAGTCCTTGGTGCCCGGTCCTCGGCCATCGCATTTCCGGGGTGACCTGGGCTCACCCTGAACAGACTTTCTCCTCCTTGAATAACTCCATCATGGGCACCTCTATCCAGAACAAGCAGAAAGCAAATCCTGATGGCCAGAGGCTGGAGCGGGACCCTCTCCGACCCGCGCGTCTCTCCACCAGCGCCCCCGTAGCGACTCTCCCGCGCAGGCCTCCTGCGCAGTCTCCGCTACAGCCACTTCCGGGGGATTCGCCGTATCAAATTTCCCCCGGGAAGCAGGCCTCTTGACCAGCAGCTTGGGGAGCCCGAGCCGTTTCCCAGAACGTGCAGGGAGGGGAAATACTTTCAGTGATCCTTTAGAACACGCATGTTTTTGTGTGCTTTTGTGGGTACATTATTTGGGACGTATGTTCTTGGCGAATTTCTTAATCTGGAAGCCCGAGCGGACTATAAAAGGCGCACGCAGCCCAATTTCCGGAGGACAGAGATTGCGAAGAACAACCAGGAAGCAGCTGGGTTGGGAGCTGTCCCCGGTTCTCCGCTTTGCTTTCGAGGGTGCCTCCAGGGGTCCCTAAGCCGCGGCCCCCCGACTGGTCCTAGGCTCCGGCCCGGGTCCATCACTCCGGAGCTGCCATGTCATCCGATTTCGAAGGCTATGAGCAGGACTTCGCGGTGCTCACTGCAGAGATCACCAGCAAGATTTCGAGGGTCCCCCGTCTCCCGCCTGGTGAGAACCCTGCCCCAGTCCGGCGGGGGCGGCCTGGAGAGTTGGGAGGCTGGGGGCGGTGGAACGCCGCCTGGGCGAGTGTCCCGCAGGCACGAGCCTGGAGTGGGCAGTGCTGGCGGCCCAAGTGGGGCACGGGGCTTGACTTGGTTGAGGGTAGACTCCAAACTGATTTGAAGGGTGGCCGAAAAAAACCTTCGGAATCTGAACCATCTGAATTCAAATTCCTACTCCAACGCCTTGTAACTTGTGTACCCTTGGAAATGTTTCTCTGAGTCTTTTTTTTTTTTTTTTTTGTAATATGAAGATGTGAGTATTCAAAGAAAATTACCGAAAGTACCAAGATCGTGGATCTGTAATATACAGCAGCGTTGTGGTATTAGGAATACTAACGTTATTATAATATGTGGCAGAGTAGAGTTCAGAGCCAGTATGCCTGAGTTCATATCCCAACTCGGCCACTTGTCTCTTGGGCAAGTTTCCTAACTTCTCACAACTTTCCTTCTTGGTAAAATGCAGAGAATTGTCTCTTTCATAGGGTTGTTGCAGAGATTAAATGATATAATACATGTAAAGCCATTTCTTGGTGTGTTAGCTGCTATTATTGTTAGCATTTTCATACCTCTATCCTCATTTCTTGTAAAAGTGAGGATAATTTCTCTCACTTTAAAAATTCTACATCTCCCATCTGGAGTTGTTTTTGATTTTGTTTGGTTGCTAGATTGTCAACTATGTGAAGATGGGAGCTGTGTCTGATTTCCTTCACATGGGTTTACTAAGTGCTTAGCAAATGTTTATGTGAATGAGTAGATGACTATATTTTGTGACTTATGGTGTGAGATACTGTTTTAGGATATCTCTTTCTCTAAGTACAGATTTAATTTGAGTAGTTAGTTACAGATAAGATTTTTACTTTTTGGCTTAGTTTTGTCATTGGGCTGTGGGACTTGACCCCTTCTGGAGTATACAGTATAGAAAAGAGGATACTCACTAATCTGAAGAGTGGGGGCAACTTCACTTTTAGACCTTGTCAGTCAAATCCTTAATGATAGTAATAATTTCTCCTGGACCTAAGTTGTCACTCCTCTTTCCCGTTACCTGTTTCCCAGAAAACTTTGTGTTTATAAATAATTTTCTTCCTTTATTTCCCTGTTTTTCTTCTCCCCCACCTGTTTTCTGTTAATAGGGATATTTGCTTGAAGCCAGGATCTCTGAATTTACACCCCACTCATCTCCTGAAGTCCCAGTTAGTTCTGCAGGAAGTGAATGGTGTCTTAAGGAGGTTTATGAGTTCAAGTAAGGGAACAAGAGGAAAAAACCAAGGTAGCATATACCACCGAGCTCTGCAGCCTGAGATTTTTGTGGAGAAAGTGGCTGATGCCTCATCACTTCACGATACATCACCTCGTCTCTTCTCTTCAGTTCTACTTTTCTCCACTGCCCAAGATCATCTTAATTTTGTTGTCATTGTTGTTGGAGACTACTTCCTTTGAATTGAGTCCCAGAGCCTCAGAATATCAGGACTTGTGGTTCCAGTTGGGTTTTTGCTCATTTTTTATTGTAATGGTTTTAGCAATAGAAACATTTCTTTGGGCTAATAGCTTTGTTACTGTGAAACTGTTTTACAAAGTAGCAGTCATCCATGGGTGCAAAGTTGTAAAAACTGTTTTCAAGGAAACAGATTTTGTTACTAATGAGTTTTCCTTGTCCATTTTATTCTAATGTAACAATCTTACCACATAGAAGGAAACGTATGAATTAAGTACTTAAAGCCATACTACTCCTTAACTGTAGTATAATGTAAGGCCCAAACACAGCAGCTACATTTCAATTGAAAGGAGATTATATAGCAGGCACTGGAAAAATGCGAATTTATTTGAATAACTAAATAAGTTTAGGATGCAGTGGTTTCTCTCTTATTAATGATTTATGTTTGCTCTTTTTATAAACTAATTGATAAATATAAAAAGATTAAAAGTATTTCTATGTAGTTATGAATTTCTGATGTATCTTATGGACTAATAGAAATTAATATGTATAATAATGGAAAACCCAAAATGATTAAAAATGATTATATTCCCCCCCCCCCCCCCCCCCCCCCCCCCCCATTATTAATGATTGTGGTGCTCAGGTAAAATTGACCCAGAAGAGATAAACTATATTCACTTGAGTTAAGAAGATTAAAAATTGAATCAAACATTTAAGCCAAAGCAGTTCATTCTCCAATATAATAATTTATTTAAACTGAAGAAGAGTGGGTAGGATCTATTGAAATGAACTTTATTGTCTGCTATGGATGTACAATGTATTAGTGTTACTTCCAAAGAGAATAGAAAAAACTGAACATTTAAAAACTTAAATTTAAAAGAAATTTTATTACTTTGTAATTTTTTTTAACAATAAAAGAACTTTGCTCTTAGACTTAAGTGTTTGAATGTTAACTAATTTAGTAATTGGACTGTTGATATGGGTGAGTCCGTTAATATTCTTAAGACATTGTATTTGAAAATTGATTTTTAATCATTACTGTTCAGTGGAAATTTCAGGAAGATTGATGTGCAGAAACCACAACTAATAGTTTATTGTGGAGTTCTTTTCCTTTGGTGTGGGAGCAAATTCCTAAGGGGAAACTACTTATCCCAGGTACAGTTACATCAACCAGGTGTCTTGACAGATCTTGTAAGTTTTATTTTGCAAGTACTTCCTTACCTCTCCATCCGATTGGTCTTCTGTAAATTTTATCACTTCGTGGCTGTGGTCAGAAATGTAACAAGAAAGTATTAAGCCAAAGTGGTTGAGACTGACTACTTATATCAGGTCTATTTAGAATTCCAGTTCTGCTACTTAGTAGATGTGCAATCAGTTAAAATTGTTTGACTGCTATATGCCTGCCTGTTCTGTCTACAGAATGGGAGGAGAGGGGTTATAGTTAAACCACATAGTGTTTTACAAATCAAATTAAATAATAAAGCATGTAACACACTAGCACCATTCTTGCATAGAGAAAGTATGTGATAAACTAACCCTGTAGAGAAGTGATATTACTGCTGCTTCTGCTAAAAACAACAGCAAGTAGAATTGGACAGAACCCAGCTTTTCAGAATTTGTCATTTTGTACTTTTAAAAAAATTCTTTTTAGTTGTTGAAGGATCTTATTTATTTTTTATTTATATGCAGTGCTGAGAATTGAACCCAGTGCCTCACACATGCAAGGCAAGCACTCTGCCACTGAGCCACAACACTAGCCCTAATTTTGTATGCTTAAAGGAATCTTGTACCTCAATTCTTGCTTCCTTTCTGTGCTTAACCTAGAGTGAAGTTTATTTCTCTTGATGAATACTTACATTCGAAGGGAAGTGAGTGATCAGGGGCTTTTGGATATGAAATTGAAAAATTAGATTTCAAACTCAGAATATCAAGGAGGGAATCAAGTGAGAGAAGTCAAAGTAATGGGAAAAACACGAATCTTCTAGAAGGAAATGCTCAGGTCTGATGGGTTAGCTTTTTCGAGCTCTGGAGCATTTAGGAGACCATCTAAATAACCATGTATGAATGTAGCTCTAACCCTGTTACATGATGGTCTCTGTTGCAAGATGGATGTAGGGAGAGAATTTAGAGGAGTATGTTTTTGTTAATGAATAGTGTGGTTTGCTTAAAATATATGTGGCTCTAGAGCTATAGTGTCTACATGTAGCTATTGAGTATTGGAAATGTAGCTAAATTAAAATGATAATATTTGGAAATGCATTCTACAGTCATGTATAACTAATTATAACATATTTAAAAGGGGGAAATAATTTGGATATATTGGGTTAAATACTATTATAACTAAAATATGTTATTAAACTAATAACATTTTATTAGTTTTAAATTATTTATTTTTATTTTTTAAATTGTACCTACTAGAAAGTTTAAAATTGCATATAATGATTTCTATTACATGTTTATTCCTCCAGGGAGTTAGTTGAAGGGATGGCTCCAGTCCTGATTCAGAAACTCACTGTGACCGTAGTTTGCCCTTGGTCAGGAAACTAGCTACCTCGAAGTTTCATGAGTTAATGGGCAAAGTCCAACTTTTTCAGTTCAGTATGCAGGGAAACAGCCTATGGATGTTACTGATGGCCTGGTTACATCTTACTTTTTAAACAGTGAAGCATTTATGGGTTTTTATTCATTTTAGAATAATATATACACATATATAAATAAATATTTGTGTATGTATTTGTGCACATAAATAAATATGTGGGTATGTATTTCTGTATCTCTTTGTGTGTGTTTTCTCGTTCTCTCTCTCTCCCTCCACCCCCTCTAATCACAGGGGAATTACCTACCCTTCAACAATTTAGTCCACCTAATGGCTTTAATGTTTAAAAAATTAACTAAATATGCAGAGTTGGGGATTGAACATATTAAACACATGCTTTACCTCTGAGCTACAACTGCCCCCAGCCCTAAACTTTTTGTTTTTAGAGCAGTTTGAAAGTTACATAAAGATCACAAATATAGAGACTCCTCATATACCCCATGACTAGTTTCCCCTATTATTAAAACCTTAATTTGATAAAAATTTGTTACCACTAATAACCCCATATTGATTTGTTATTAATAAAAGTCCATACTTTATTCAGATCTTGTTAGTTAGTTTTGTTTTTGTTGTTGTTGTTGTTGTTTTTAATCATTCTAAAAGCCAATCCAAGATACCACAAAACATTTAGTAGCCATAGTTTCTTAGGCTTTTTTTGGGGGGGGAGGGGGCTATGACAGTTTCTCAAACTGTCCTTGTTTTTAATAACTTTACAGTATAGAGGAGTACTAGTAAGAAATTTTGTAGAATGTTCCCCAAATGGGGTTTGCCCATTTCCCCCCTCATTCTTAGACTGGGGTTTGGGGTTTGGAAGAGGAAGACCATAGAGGTAAAGCATCATTTTCATCCCACTGTTTTAATAGTGTGTTCTCAACTTATCACTACTCATGTTAACTTTGATCACCTGCCCAAGAGAGTG